TCTCTCTCTCTCTCTCTCTCTCTCTGACTATCTGACTAACTCACTGATGATGCGAGAGGAAAGAGAGGAGAAGTAGCACTTCTGAGCACTGCTCAAGATTGGCACAGAAGAAGCAGTGCGCACCGTTCATCTCAACTTGCGTTCAGTTTAGTTTAGTAGCTTTTATTTTCGCCTAGTTTGGTTGATGGCAGAAGTAGTAGTGAGAGAAAACTGTTGTTTGTTGTTTCTTTCTGGTACTGCCAATTTGAAACAAACGAAAATTGCTGCCACTTTACGTTACGCTGTGGCACTCTCTACAGTACTTTACTTTACTGTTGCCTTTTTGCTCCCACTGCTTTGGTGTTTCCGTGTTCACGGCTTCTTCTTCGACTTTAACAGCAGCAATGAGTACAGCACAGCGGACCGCCGACTATCGCCACTGGGCTCAAATAGTGAAAAGAATAGTGAAGAATGCTCTCTTCCTTCTCATTCAGTCTCATTCAGTCTCATTCATTCAGTCACTGATGGAGATGTGTACAAGCATTCTGCCTAGGCACTGATTGCCACCACCGCCGCCGCTGCTCGGTTGGTGCCTGCAAAGCTGTGATTTGCACTACTGCTGCTGCTGTTCAGCTAATCATTAGGAGCTTCCGCTGGGCAATTGAGAATTGCCTTTAAATCGAGTGCTACTGCTGCTGCTGCTGTTGCCGTTGTTGCCGTTGTTGCCGTTTAAACGGCTTACGCTGAATCGAGTCGCATTGAATCTACTTCAACTGCCTCCTTCTCCTTCTTTTTCACTCTTCAATCACCACCATCTTTGTATGTGTGAAAGGGAAGGAGTGAGAGAGAGAGAGCGTTAGTATGTGAACGGAATGAATTGAGAGTTAGTATGTAGAGCTGGCAAAGTCTTCTCCACTCCGAGCATAGAGTACAAATTGCAGCCTTGTATCCTTTCGGCGAAATATTATTATTATTATTTCGTTTTGTGAATTGATTTGCTCTTTTTCCCTCTCTCTCTCTCTCTCCCCTTCCCCTTCCTTTCCACTCCTCCTCAATTGAGCAGTAGTAGCGGATGCTGGAATTGACGTGCATTTGAGAGCATTTTGATGCGGCAGGGATTGTTGGACTAGCTGCTGCTGCTGCTGTTGCTGCTCAAACAGTAGGCCAATAAGGCCAATAATCGGCTAGTAGTCAAGAAGTGAAGTGAAGTGACGGCGCGGCGGCGGCGGCGGTGCTGGCAATGCTGGTAATGTTAGGCAATATGCCATATTCCTCAGTGAATACACAATGCGCCGACGGAGATGGCGAAGGCAGTGCTTTCCGCAATCGCCAGGCTAAAGTGGAGCAGCAGTAGTCTGCGGTGTTGCTGCTACACATAATATAATGTGATCATATAATGTGATAATACTGGGGCAAAAACAGAGGAAGAAAAAAAAGAAGAAAAAAGAAAGGAAAAAATTGTGCAGCCATGCACAAAGCTGGGTGCAAATGTCTGCCAATGTCGGTCGTCTGTTGGTCTTTCTTTCTCCTGCTCCGACTACCACCACTGCATGACCATTTGCATCGTGATTATGTATTGTGTTANGAAAGAAGAAAAAGAAAGAAGAAAAAATTGTGCAGCCATGCACAAAGCTGGGTGCAAATGTCTGCCAATGTCGGTCGTCTGTTGGTCTTTCTTTCCTCCTGCACCGACTACCACCACTGCATGACCATTTGCATCGTGATTATGTATTGTGTTATTGTTATTATTGCCATTTGCTATCACACAACTGCCTCAACTGCTGATACGGATGCTGATGTTGATGCTGATGCTGTTATTATTATTTGCCGCTCAGACAAACACAGTTCTGCTGAAATGATGTGACAAAGTGTGTTTATGTGATGGTGATCATGGTGGCAATGACGTTGATGATGATGACAGACTAGTAGTAGTCGGGACAGTGGTGAATGGTGACTGGTGGATGACGACTGTAATCGCATTCGCCCAAGCATTGACTAATCTCTCTGTGTTCTCTTTTTATATTCTGTTTTTCTATTTACTCCACATCCAGCACCAACAGATTACTACTATTCACCGACAGCTTCGGCGACAGCAGCTTTGACACTGTCATCATCTTCTTCATCATCCCATTCCTCCTTTTCTCCTTCATCCTCCTCCTCCTCCTCGTCCATGNACAGCACCAGCAGATTACTACTATTCACCGACAGCATCGGCGACAGCAGCTTTGACACTGTCATCTTCTTTTTCATCATCCCATTCCTCCTTTTCTCCCTCATCCTCCTCCTCGTCCATGTTGTTATCCTCCTCCCGATCAATGATGATGGCGGTGGCGATGAAGCCGCCCTACGAACAACAACACCAACAGGCTGCTTCTTCTGCTGCTGAAATTCCATTACCACGGCATCAACAACAGCAGCAGTCCCGAAGCAGCAGCAGCAGAATGAGCAGTATTCCCCAGCATTACCGTTCGGCAGCTTCCTCAGCCTCAGTGCACCATCACAAATCTCAGCATCAACATCAGCATCAGCATCAACATCAGCAGCAACAGCAAAACTTTCCTCAGCCTTCTCGGCTGTCCTCGGTTGAACCGGGCGAATCCTTAAATGAAATTGATGAAGAGGAAGAAGAACGGGAGCGGGAAAAGGAGCAGACGGCGGCTGGGGAAGATCCGCTGCTGCAGCTGGAGAACAGCACACCGACGAGCAGTCCGGCGCTGAACATCACCGCCCAAGTGGGCCACCCCGTTTATCTGCACTGCATTGTCGAATCACTGGGCGATAAAATGGTAATAATACGCTTTTATTTCTTTATTATTTCTGTTTTTCCTCTTTTGGTGAGATTCTGGCTCTGGGTAGTGGGAGCCACTTTTTCCTTCTTTTTCTCCCCATTTTTTAGTGCGATAGTTTTCAGTGCGCACTGCACTGGCCTTGCTCACTTCTTTTCTCCTTTCTCGGCAATCTTTTTTCTCCTTTGCCGATCTGCCGATCTTTTGCACTTTTTTTCTAGTCAGCCATTGCTAGGCTGCGGTGTTCCCCCTCTCCTTTGGTCGGGCAATATGTCACTGGCTATATTGGCGCACTTTTAGCAGCAAATACGCTTACTTTCCCTTCTTTTCCCTTCTTTTCCCTGTTCATCTTTTTGAGCCATAAAGCCATTCTGATGGCGATGCTGCCGATGTCTGCTGTTGAGGAGAGATCACAGGAGAACGCAATAGGGAAGTGTGCAGTCTTTCAGGCACGGCTGCAATCGATGTAAAGTGAATTGTAAAGTGAATTCTGTGTGTGTGTTCAGTACAGCAGCAGCAAAAAACTAGGCAATCATTAGAGAGCAGTGAACGGCGGCCATTACCACGGTTCCCTTTCGCAGTGGCAATGGCACTAGCACACCACTATTACCACCACTAACACCAGTAATTCAATTGTGCATTGCCACCTCTACTTCTACCTCTACTTCTTGAACTACAGCTAATGTCCATTGCGTTCTCTTTCATTCTCTTTCATCCTTCCTACCCCTTTAGGTGTCGTGGATTCGCCTGCGTGACTTTCATCTGCTGACGATTGGCAGTCTGACGTACATTCAGGATGACCGCTTCGCCGTCCGCCCGGCGACCAGCCACCAAGGCAGCAGTGGCAGTGCCTCCAATGACTGGTCGCTGCAGATCAAGCACGTCACCGTGCGCGATGAAGGTAGGTCTTGCCTGTGTTGCTGATTTCGGTTTTCGGTTTTTTTTGTGTGGGTTTTTTGTTGCCTTTTTTTATACTGTGTGTGTGTATTAATAGATGTGTGGCCTCACCCCCTGTGCGGCAGTAGTTTGAGCTTTATTGAGCGAGGGCGAAGTCGAGCAACTGCTGGTAATTAATTCTTTGGCTCGGCCAAATATTCAAAGGATTAGCTAAATAGTCGTCGTAGTTAGTGTGCCAGCGTGCTAACTCTATGACTCTATTGACAGGCAATACCAGTGTGGCACCTACGCGCCCACATTTCTGTGTGCTGTGTGGTCTTGTTCGTCAGCGAGTGTATGTGTGTGTGTTTAGTGTGTGCACACCGGCACCGGCGACAGTTAATCAACTTGCAATTACAACAAGAGCAGCCATTGTTGCAGCCACCACCACCACCACCACCACCACTACCAGCTCCTTTTGTACAGCAGTGCTTTTGGTATAAGCAAACACACACACACACATTCATGTACAAAAAAAACTGCCCGCCTGCCTGCCTGCACCCACAGACAAAGTGCACAGCGGTGCCAGTGCTGGGAACATATCGCTGCACTGGGAGCACTACTGCATGATCACCACCACTATTTGGTGACACTGTATCGGTGGCACTGATCAGCATTAGTGGAACTGCTTCCAGGAATAGTGACTACTCCGGATAGTGAATATCATATCCCCTACTTCTTCTTCTTCGTCTTCTTCCTCTTCTTTCTGTACTCATTAAAGGCAGTGGCCCCTGATGGAGGAATAAACGATGCAGAGAAGTGCCGCTGTTGCCGCTGTTGCTGCTGCTGGACTGAACAAACACCGAGCAGTGAAACAGCAGCAAAGTTCAGAGGCAATGAGACGATGGTAATCGATAGCACTGTATATTAGCATTAATAATTGNTACCACCGTCGTCGCTATTTGGTGACACTGTATCGGTGGCACTGATCAGCATTAGTGGAACTGCTTCCAGGAATAGTGACTACTCTGGATAGTGAATATCATATCCCCTACTTCTTCTTCTTCGTCTTCTTCCTCTTCTTTCTGTACTCATTAAAGGCAGTGGCCCCTGATGGAGGAATAAACGATGCAGAGAAGTGCCGCTGTTGCCGCTGTTGCTGCTGCTGGACTGAACAAACACCGAGCAGTGAAACAGCAGCAAAGTTCAGAGGCAATGAGACGATGGTAATNTGCTGCTGGACTGAACAAACACTGAGCAGTGAAACAGCAGCAGCAGCAACAGTGGCACCAAAGTTCAGAGGCAATGAGACGATGGTAATCGATAGCACTGTATATTAGCATTAATAATTGATCTACTCTTATCGGTTTAGTCGGGAGAATACAGGGGAAGGGGGGAGAAGAGATCCAGGGCGGAAGAGTGAATGACTGAGTGAGCAGACCGACAGACAGACACTGTGAGGGAAACGGGCACCATGCACTAGATCTTGCACTCTATCGATCGTTCTGGGAACGGAGAATCGAGAGCTGCTGCTGTTGTTGCTGCTGTTGTTCTGTTGTTGTAGCAGCGACAGAGGTGCTGGTGAACAACAAATCAGTGTTATAATTATTTTGATGGATTGGTGCAGGAGGGTGCACGCTAAGGTTAGCAGCAGCAGCCGTCGCCGTCGCCGTCTATCTCTTGCCTTTTTATTTTTGGCGACTTGCTCTTTTTCTTGCTCTCACTCTCGCTCTGCGACCAGCGACGAGCGGGATCCCTACTTCGTCGACGACACACTGTCGGGATGGTGAGAGCTCCCGATTCTCCTCTCCCTTCTCCTTCTCACAGCACATTACATATTTATGGGCCTGCTGCTGCTGCTGCTGCTGGGGCAGCTTGTTTTCCTGCAACTTTGAGGGAAAACCAGTGAGAGAGTGAGTGAAAACTACTTGAGTATGCAGTACGACACACAGGGCGACAACGACAGCGGCGGCAGCAGCAGCAGCAGGGTCAGCGGCGCCATCACAGCCACACACAGGCAAGCAGACGGTTTGTGCTGAGAAGAATCTAAAGAATGGCAACTTTTAAAATTGCTTATTATCGGTGATGAATTGCCGCCGCCGCTGCTGCTGCTGCTACAATTCAGTTTGCTACTACTGGAGCCCATTTCTTCCCCTCCCCTCCCCCGCTATCCCTTCCTTTTCAGCAAGTGTGAAGTGTCTGGAGTCTGTGACAGAGAGAGAGAGAGAGAGAGAGTGAATGTGCACTCACTCTTTAACAGTGTGTGCGCGAGCACATGCTGCCCGTCGAAGCACTGCCAAACACACTGCTCCACTGTGCTGTCCAATTCTCGATGACTCCATCCGTCATCACTTCTATTACTATGACTGGAGCTGTGTGTTCATTTTTTACTGTTTTTTTTGTTTTGCTCTGTGGGAAGGTGGGCGCAGTTGCCGTTGAAGCACTGCACTCACTCACCCTGCTGGACACTTTTGGCTGCTGCTGCTGCGGCAGGGCTCTTCCGCTTTCACTCTCTACCTCATTTTCACTTGCTCGAGTGACCTTTGAAGAGAGCGATAAAAAAAGTGGTGGTGCTGGCGGTGTCCAGCGAGTAGAGTCGCCCCTGTTCGGAGACCACCTCGAAGCTCACACACACTATGCACAGTGTCACGACACAGCGTCTGATCGATTCACTGTGTTCTGAATTCTGTTGTTGTTGCGACATGTTCTGTGCTACAAAGCAAACACATTCTCTACCATTGGAGCACTAAAAGAATTAGTTAAAGTCGGTCAGAGAGAAAAGTGAGCGAGCGAGTGAGCGAGTGAGAGTGAGTGGGCAAGTCATTACTCAGTGGTCACAGTCAGCCAACCAGCCAACCAGTCAGTGTGATGTGTCCCTATTTTCTTACAATGCTGGTCCTCGGATTGCTTTCCACTTTCATTTTAAAATGGCCTCTGTGCTCAATAGTGTGGACACAGTATTGCTGGAGAATTAGAGCTGTTTTGGATGTGCTTGTGCTTGTGTGACTGTGTGCAGTGATCAGCATCAGTCGACAGTAAGCAATGGCTGGCTGGGCTCTGCTGTGGTAAGTCAAGTCAAGACTTNCATTGCTGGGGAATTAGAGCTGCTTTGGATGTGCTTGTGTGACTGTGTGCAGTGATCAGCATCAGTCGACAGTAAGCAATGGCTGGCTGGGCTCTGCTGTGGTAAGTCAAGTCAAGACTTGGTCTTCTTTTTCTTCTCCCTCTTCTTCTTCTTCTTCTTCAGCCTTAGTTTTAGCAGCAGCAGCAGATGCTTACTGCTGACTGAAATGCAGCCAAGCAGCCAACGATCCAGCCAGCCAGACAGCCAGCGTTGGCATCAACAGCAGCCAACGCGATCATTTATCTTTGCTTATTGGATTTCATCCATAATTAATCACCAAAGTTAAGGGAGAGAGATTCAGAGAGGAGAGAGAGAGCGAAAGTAAAGAGTAAAGCCAAGAAAAGCAAATGGCAAGAAAGAGTAGTAAGCTTTCCTCTCCTTCCCTTACTTCTGAGCTCTTGCTCTATTAGTAACTTGTTCGCCACTACGACTACGACTACCACCACCACCACCACCACGACTAATAATACCAAAAGACTAAGACCAACAGTGGTAATGCTGCTGCTGTTCTGCTTCCTCTTCTTCTTCTTATTATTATATTACCCAATGGCGTAATTAATAATAGGACATAATCGCCAGTGCGACTAATGGCCAAACAATACAAGGCTGCTGATGGTGCTGCTGCTGATGCTGATTCGGTTACAGGGAAAGAAACTGCTGCACTCGCACGCATTAGTTGGATGAAAGTAACGAATTCCTTCCAAACTCGTTCACTCAGGCAGTCGGTCGGTCGGTGGTTGTACAAGGGGTAAGANTAATCGCCAGTGCGACTAATGGCCAAACAATACAAGGCTGCTGATGGTGCTGCTGCTGATGCTGATTCGGTTACAGGGAAAGAAACTGCTGCACTCGCACGCATTAGTTGGATGAAAGTAACGAATTCCTTCCAAACTCGTTCACTCAGGCAGTCGGTCGGTCGGTGGTTGTACAAGGGGTAAGAAGCAGTGTAAGCTGTCATTGCTGCACTAGTCAGTGGTTCCCCCGTTTTTCGTGTAGCTTGTAAGTAGAGCTGGTGTAACAGGAAGGAGAGAGAGAGAGAGAGATCGCTGTTAGCAGGGGCGAAAAGAAGTTGTCAGGCAGTGCAGCTGATGCAGTTCAGTAGTAGTTGTCGGACAATCGCGGCGCGACACGACACAGACAGTGGTGTAGATGTGTTGGATGTGTGCGAGGTACACCGATGATAACGTGATAACGGGAAAAGATAGATTCGAGACACGGGTCTAAGTGAAAGATAAAGTGAGGACAAGAGAAAGCGGATAACTAAAAACAAGAGAGTGTGTAGCAAAAAAAAGACAGCTTAGCTGATGTCCTCTTGGTGTGCTGAGTTAGCTGCAGGACATGGCAAGCTCAAAGAAGCTGAAGAGACTAAGACTGCTTTGGTGGTAAAATCTGCCCTGGGACTGCGCTTTCTTTTGGCTGCTTAGCTTTTGCTTGGTGTTGCTAATTGCCCAAGAGGAAGAGGAAGAAGAGGAAGACGGCGGCGGAAAAGCAGTGGCAGCATTGTCCACAATGCTTGACAAGGCTGCTGAGTTGTGTGTACAGAGCTGCTGCTGTCGCTTGATTGCCTCTCCGCGCCGACCCTCAGCGCCTCCGAGTACTACTTCGGCTTCACTCTGTGTTTTGTCTTTCATTGCTCTGCTCTGTTCTTTCCATGTTGCATTAGCAATTTAAATGATGACTCTTCTAATTGTTCTTTTCTTTTTCTTTCTTTCACCCCCACAGGCCTCTACGAGTGTCAAATTAATTCGGACCCTCCACGCAGTCAGTAAGTGTCAGCATCACCATCACCATCACCATCATCATCTGCTGCTGCTGCTTTTTAGTGCTTCTTCTTTCCTAGACACACACACACACACACACACATTCAGCTTGTCGGCCACTTTTCTATCTTCTTTGTCATCAGCATCGGCATCATCATTATCATCATCGAAGTCCTCGCCAGCTAGCTAGCTAGCTAGCCAGTTTTTGCTATCTTTCACTATCGTTACAGCACTCTGTCGTACACTTGCCGTACAGTGAAACTGACAGCAGCGCTCAGGCAGGCAGGCAGGCAGGCAGGCAGGCCAGCTCGCCAGCACTTGCTGTGGGCGATGTGTCAGCGATAAAAATGGCACAATGAAAAGATAAAAGAATCGAGGCAGGAAGGGACTAGGGGACCGAAAAGCCAGAGAACATGGGGCAAATGACAGCTGACCTAATGGAGGAGAAGAGAAAGAAGGAGAGGGGAAGGAGCCAATTTAAAATGCCAATTAAATGGCAATTTGTTTGCAGTGCCTCAGCCACTAGCGATGAAGGCTTGCCTGCCTGCCTGCCTTCTGCTGCTGCCAATGCCGCTGTTGCCGTCGTTGTTGCATCGTTGAAATGAATTTAAATGGCACTCAATCTAATTAGCGTCTTGAGGCAGTCTTGCGACACAGCGACAGAGACAAAGTCAGACAGTCAGTCAGTCAGTCAGTGAGGGTCTTCAGGCAGATGTGCCCGTCTGCCCGTCTGTCGTCCCTTGAAGAGTCTGTCCTGTCCAGAGTCTTCAAGAGTGTGGTCCCCTTCTAGTGCCAAGGCCTATCTCATCCATTTGATTTGATTTCATCTTCATTTTCATTTTCATTCAGCGCGCGCGGGCATTCGGCCCTTTTTTTCGGCGTCCCTTCGTTTCCATTCCATTAGAAGCAATTGCACACATGTTAGGGTGACAAAAGGAAAAAGAAAAAGAGGAAAAAAGTACTACCCGAACTGGAACCAAACTGCGGCAAAGGAGGCGCAAGAAGGAGCGCCAAGTCAGCAACAACAGAAGCAGCAACAGCGGCGGCAGCAGCAACATCAGCAGTCCAGTGCACACTGGGTGACAGGACACAGTGACACTTTGACAGTTTAACATATNCGGCGTCCCTTCGTTTCCATTCCATTAGAAGCAATTGCACACATGTTAGGGTGACAAAAGGAAAGAGAAAAAGAGGAAAAAAGTACTACCCGAACTGGAACCAAACTGCGGCAAAGGAGGCGCAAGAAGGAGCGCCAAGTCAGCAACAACAGAAGCAGCAACAGCGGCGGCAGCAGCAACATCAGCAGTCCAGTGCACACTGGGTGACAGGACACAGTGACACTTTGACAGTTTAACATATTGCACCAGTAGTACAATACAAGACAACACACACACACACACAGTTCACAGCAAGAGAGAGATGTCTGTCTTCCCTGTGTGTCTACAAGTGAGATGTCTGCTGCTGTCTACTGAACCCTGAGAAGAAGACTGAGGGGAAGTGCATTGGCAAACAAATCAGAGCTACAATTTGCTTAAGTGATTGCCGCCGCTGCTGCACTTCATTCGCCGACATTGTACACTACACTAAGAGAATGAATGAAAGATTGTCAGATTGTCTGACGCCGCAGTTGCCGTCGCCTACGTCAGTCAGTCAGAGTCAACGAGAAAGTGAGCGTGTGTGTGCATTGTCTACTTTGTACACACTTGCTTGCTTGCTTGCGAGCACTTGTTCTTCTTTCACCACTTTTATCACTAATTGCACTTTTTTCCTCTTTCCTTCTTTTTCCTCCCCTGCTACAGGTATTACTACTTGCGCATTGTTGGTGAGTGATTATCTGCCTTTAGTTTATCAGTGGCACTTTTCCGACTTTTCATCCATTCATCATCGTCATCATCAACGCACTCTAAACTAATCTCTTTTTTTCTTTTTCTTTTTTATCTTCCATTTCCACCACCACCACCACCCACTTCAGTGCCCGTCTCCGAGATTGTGGGCAACCCTGACATCTTCGTGCGCTCCGGGGCGCCCATCAACGTCACCTGTCTGATCTCCAGCTCGCCGGCGCCGCCCGCCTTTGTCTTCTGGTACCACAACAACCGCATGATCAACTACGACTACGGCGGTGGAAATAGCGGCGGCGGCAGTGGTGGTCAAGAGGGAGCATCGGGTGGTACCAGCGGTGGCAGTGGCGGTCGAGGGCAGATCTCGGTGGCGAAGGACCCGAACCGAGCCGACGTGGTCATCTCGCGACTGCTGATCAGGTCGGCGGTGCTCGACGACAGCGGCAACTACACCTGCTCGCCGAGCAACGCAGAGCCCGCCTCCACCTACGTGCACGTCCTCCAAGGTACCGATAATTAGTCAGCTCACTGCAGCTTCAGCACATTCTATTTTACTACTGGCAGTTGAATGGGTGAACTACCGAGAGAAGGAAAGAAAAACAGTTGCAGCTGGTGCTGGTCAATTGGTCTTTAGAATTTGTTTCTTGCTCTCCAGCACCATTAGCCAATTAGTCCTGATGGCATTCAGTGCTGTTGCTGCTGTGCTCATTAGTAAATGCGAAATAGAAGAGAGGAGAACGCCAGTTCTGGTGCGATCCCTCTCAATTGAGACGAAAGATCGCCGATCTGCAGAATCGTTAATTGAATTACCCAAATGGGACGATTTAGTGGAATCCACGGAGCAAGGAGAAAGCGGGGGAAAGGAAATTGAGTAAATGAGATGCACTGCCGAGCAGCACAGTCTTGCAGTGAAGCTACTGCCGTTGCCGTCGCCGATGCTGCTTGGCAGTCTGCTCACTGCGCTGCCACTGAGCACTGGAGAACTAGGCTACAACAAATTGAGACCACACCAAAAGAAGCCTGAGCATCACCGAGTGCAGATCATCCATTATCATCATGCATTATCATGCGAGCAGATTGAGCTGGCCACTGCACTGCAGCTCAGTTCCATCAGCAGTGACCAGCAGCAACGGCAGCAGCAGACAGTATCGATAAAGCTGTGTGTGTGTGTGTGTGTGTCTGCCATCAGTGAGGAGTGGGTGCTCCTCAACAGGGAAAAGGGATGCAGTGCATCACTGGCACTGGCATTACCACTGACTGATCACACGGCTGCTGCTGCTGCTGCTGTCCACTGGTGCATGCACTACTGGAGACTCATCTTTAGCCTCGCTCTCTCTAGCTCTTTCTTTCTCTACCCACTCATCCCTTTTGGGCCATTGCAGCAGATGGAGCATGATCCACTCAGTCTCTCTCTCTATCTTTCTCTTCTTTTTATTATTCCCATCCTTTTTTCTTTCCTTCTGTTTAGTCAGTGTGGGCAATTACGCATAAATCTGTGTGTGTGTCTGTGGAGAGCGGCAGTAGCATCTTCATATTCTCCGCTGCCGTCCTCGTTGCTGCCGCTGATTCCAGTGGACATCTTCACTAGCCACACACGCCAGAGTGGTAAAAACACTGACCGACACAGACAGAGAGAGAGAGAGCAGCAGTTTACTAGCGAGTGTAGCAAATTGTTAGTGCCTAGCAGCGGCGGCAACGTCGGCGGCGGCGGCGGCGGCACAACAAATAGCAATATATCAGCAGGCTATCAGCAGAGACAGTAGTAGTCAGGCGAAGAAGAAGCTGAAGCTGAAACTGAATGACTGCATCCGACCAGACTAGACTTAGGATTCGGCAGGGGATTGCCTGGCCAGTAGAGGAAGAGGAAGAAGAGTCACCACCACTTGGCCTCACTTACCCTCTCTCAGATACTCATTCTCAACGAGCTAGTCGATCTGCTTTTGGCTTTGCCAGAGCTGCTGCTGCTGCTCAATGAATAGTGCTCTGTGTTTGTGTGCCCTCGGTGTGTTGGCTGTAGTAGCTGCTGCTGGTATTGGTGTTGAGCTCGTAGTGGGCTCAGTGGGCTCTTTCATCACATCGCATGATTGCCTTTTCCACTCGAATAATAAAGCCTGCGCTTGCGAGCTTGTGAGCTGGCGAAGGGTGCGAGAAGGAGAAGGAAAGGGGACAGTTGAGAGAAAGAAGCTGCATGCAACAAAAAAAGACTCTGCTTGTGTGTGTGTGCCGAATCAAAACATTAACGCCGCAGTACAAAGGAATAGAATGGAAGAAAAAAGAGCGGGAGAGGGAGAAAGATATTCGGGCCAGGAAGAGACAGCGGCGGCGGCGGCGGCGGCCACTGAATGGCTTAGCTCGATAGCCACCGAGGATGGTGGCTGTGGTGGTGATGGTGGTGATGGTGGAAAGAAAGAAAAGGCCAGCCAATCGAAACGGCCAATCGATTGCTGTTGCTGCTGCTGATGCTGATGCTCACTAACTGCATTCTCTTTCTCTTTCTCTTTAAACCACCATTCCTTTCTTTCTTTCCTTCTTGCCTCAGTCACAGTTTTCCCGTTTTCATTCTTCCTCATTCCTTCTCTTTTTCCTTCGGCTGACATCTCAATTCGCCCGGCCACATATCGACTGCACTGCAATGCACTCTTGGCTCTCTCTGCACTGCACTCAGGGCAATCAAATGGCCATTTTTATTTATTTTCATCATTTTCAGCATCGGCAGTATGAAGATGATGATGTTGATGTTGAAGGGTAGCCGATGCCGCCGCTGACAGAGTTGTAGTAGTAAGCAACAGTATTGGCTGCCATTTTTGGCTGCAGTGACCAACAGTCAGTCAGTCAGTCAGTCGGTCGGCCAGTTTTCAGTTCTCAGCTCAGTTGACAGTGGACAGTTTGATGTCCTTCCAGTTGATTGTTTAGTCAAACAGAATTAGTATCTCCTTTATTATTACGAGCAACAGCAGCAGTGCACTCACCCATCCACTCACTCGGCCACTCACTGCATGACTGACTGTGACTGTGACTAGACTGACTAGACACACAGTCTGAATTGGGGCACTGAATTGGAATCATGGGGGTGATGGCAGCAGAAGAATACAGCAAAGTAGTAATAGTAATAGTAGTAATGTAATGATGGCCAGAGGAAGCAGAAGGAGATGACAGGGGAAAGAAAGAGAAAGAGAGGGCCTAAAGGCAGTTCTGTTTTGTTCAGTTCAGTGCAAAATGCATCAGATCAGATCAGCCATGCTGTTCTTTTTCCTCCTCCTTCTTCTCCCACTCTGTTTGGAATAGTCATTGGAGTAGTCATTATTTGTGCACTGCTGTTGTGTCAACAACTGCGACACAAACTCACTCACACACACACACACACTTGACACACTGCCCGTTTCGCTTTGGTCCTTCTGCTGTTTTTTTGTAGCTTCAGCACCAGAAGAGCTTAGCACTGTGGTGAATAAAATAAAAAGTAGCTGTAGAGGCGAGAGGACAGACGGCAGTGACTTAATGAAGGCCGGCCCGCCGATCAATGCTGGAAGTACTGCTGCCTAGTGGATTTCATTGTTTTATCTTGTTTCTTTGTTTTGCACTCTCTTCTCATTTTTCTTTTCTTTTTTTCTGATTTTTTCCTTCCTCCCTCTAAACCAGGCGAAAAGCGACTCTCGAATGACATTCAAAACGATGACATTTGGAGCCAGTCGGAACAGCTGGCGGCCAACAACGAGGGCCACCACTCGGCGGCGGGGGCGGGCGCTGCCTCTGCATTTTCACTTTTGGCCCCTCAGTACTTCCGGTTCTACCTCTTCAGCACCACCTTCACCTTCACCCTGAGCATCAGCATGACCACCACCACCACCGCCTTTGCCTTTCTCCTTCTCTCTGTACTCAACTGTACATTCTACAGTAGGCTGTAGAGTTTTAAGTGAATTGGAAAACCGCCGCCACCACCGCCACCAATACCAATTGTTTCACCAACTTTGGCCAACTTTCATTGTGATTTTCCACTTTCTTCTATTATTCATTGTTCGGTGCTCCTTTGGTTTTGAAAGAATCCTATCACACACACACACTAGTCCTCTGTGCGGATTTGTAAGCTCTTGAAATCTCTTTCTCTCTCTCTATCTGCCTCAATCTTTTCTTTGTCTTTAACCTGCCTGTTTTCAACTGTTGTTGAAGCTGGGGCTGATGCCATGATTTTGCTGTGCTTGGGAAAAGGCAGCAAAAAAGAAAAAGTAAAGTCTTGTCGCAGCATCTGCTGTCGGCACCTCCATCTTTTTTGCCTCTTGTCCATTCCTCCTCTTTCTCCTCCTCTTGTTCACACCATTTTTTTCTTTCTGCTGTTACCTGTTATATTTTGTTTTCCTTCATGTGTTTGTCTCACTCTCTCACAACTAAACACTTTTTTCTCTCTTTATCTAACTCTCAAATACCTCTCTCATATTTCCTTCTCTCACTCTCTCTCTCTCTCCATGTCATGTCTTTGCCAAATGTAATCCTCCTATCCCTAAAAAAATGATGTTTCTCCCTCTATTTCTCTG